GAGCCAGGGCCTGGCTGCCCCCGCCGCCCCCGCACTGCCCCCGCCGGGATCTGCACAAGCAGGTAGTCGGCACCGAGTTCCAGAGCATCTACAGCCTGGACAAGCTCTACCCGGAGTCGCGGGGCTCGGACACCGCGTGGAGGGTCCCGGTGAGCCGGGTGGGCCAGACGGAAGGGGCGTGTCCGCGCCGCTGCTGGGTGACGTCAGAAAGCCGGGGCCCTATTGGCCGTGCGCGGCGTTAATCGAAGGGGCCGCAGCGGAAGGGAGCTGGTTGCCCGGGCAACCGAGAGGGGCTCCGGGGAGGTCGTCGTGTGGGGGTGCGGGAAGAGCGCGCAGGATGTGCTACTTACAAGACCACCCGCTTTTCCTCGTTAGTTCCCCCACCTGCAGGCCGATTCTTGTCCCAGGAAAACTGGGGGCGATCTGGCCCTGCAGAGCGGACAATAAAGGCAGGAGGCTGACCAGGTGTTTGCTCCCTTCTGGAGTCTTTTGGAAAGTTACACTGTCCTTAGCCTCTAGCAACCCCAGCACCCCTAGGAAACTGGGGATGCATGTCACAGCAGCCCGCTGTGTGCAGGCTCCGGACCGGCCCGGGCCGAGAGAGAGGACCCCGCCAATTCTGTTGGGTTTCCACCTACAGGACAGGAAGAGAACGTTCGCTGATTCATTCACTCATTCAGCCGACTTCTGCTGAGAGCAAGCTTCGTGCACTGCGCCAGGCACAGGGATAGAGTAGTAAACAAAACACAAAGACCCTAATGTTTGTGCGGCTTGAATTGTAATGGAGGGAGACCGCAGTAGGTGAAATAAGTACAGAGTATGTGAGGCGGTGCTTTCCTTTGGAGAAACAAGCCTGGAAGAGGAGTGCTCAGGTAGGGGCGGTGTTGCAGTTGTCCGTAGGATGGTCTGGGAAGGCCCTTGAGATGGTGACATCTGAGTAAGGACCTGGAAGAGGCAAGGCAGTGAGCCCAGAGAATAGAGGGGAGACGGGCATCCCTGAGGAGCGAACAGCAGGGGTAGCCACCTTAAAGCAGTCAGCATGCCCTCCTTGTTCAAGGAACAGCACGCAGGCCAGCATGGGGACCTATTGGAGGATTTGAGGCAGAGGAGTGGGATGATCCCTCCGAGGAGCGAGGCCTCCGACGGTGCCCGACACTAGCTGAGGTCCGGGGCAGGGAAGGCCGGAGACAGTCAGCTCCATTTTCCTGGAGGAGTGTTTCTGAGGCGGTGCCTCTTGCGCCTGAGGAAGCTGCTCTGTCCTCTGCTGTGATTTGCCTGGGAACCTGAAAGTAGTTGTATTCCATGCGTGTTGTGGCTTTCCATCATTTCTTTGGTTGCCCTGGACCAGTTAGGAGGCACCCAGCAGGTGATGTGTATTTGACACGGTGTGCATTACATTACAGGATGACGCGAAGCAAGCCAACAGTGACATTCCTCTAGGTGAGTAATTTGGTTTTATAAATAAAATCAGCCCGGCTGGTGTGGCTCAGTGGTTGGGTGTCGACCTATGAACCAGGAGGCAGCTGATCAATGATTCTTTCTCATCCTTGATGTTTCTGTCTCTCCCTCTCCCTTCCTCTCTGAAATCAATAATCCATATTTTTTTTAAATAAATAAATTAAATCAGCCATTTCCCACCCCTTAGACGTTCCTTCCAGACGTCTCCAGCATCGTTTAGAATAGCAAAAGGAAGATGGCACAGCCCCCTGGAGTGCTGTGCGGTGCGCAGCACGAACAGAGAGCTCTTGATGTTCTTGTGACATGGAATAATCTTTACAATAGATGAGTTGGTCATCATTTGAAGAAAGTAAGATGCAGAAGAATATGTATAAGCTACGTTTGTGTCTTACATACAGGGTGCCCCCCAAAACGATACACATACGTTTTTTGATAGCTCAATTGATGTTTCTTTTCAGATTTAACCCATTGGAATTAATAATTATTCAAAGTGTGTATACATTTTGGGGGATACTCTACATATCTGAGATATATATATTTCTATTATGAACTTAGATCTGAAAGGATGTACAAGAAATTGGGCAGGAGGGCTGCCTTGGGGAGTGGAGAGGAAAGGACAACCCCATGGGCCCTTCTCCCTTGAACCATTTGCCCATCAAACATCAGAACTGTGCACCCATCAAGCATAAGGCCTGACAGCACGTCCTGGGAGGAAACAGCCAGCCCTTTTCCGGTTCAGAGAGTTTGTGCCGTCCCAGGCACGGGAAGGAAGAGTATCAGAGGTGCCCTTGCTCAGGGTGACACTGGAACAGAGAGGCCAGGTGACAGGTGACACAAGGGAGAGGACACCCTGTGGCCGATCTGATAGCTTGCATCTGAGCCCCGAGGTGTGCACAGCCTGGAGGAGGCAGAAAGCCTATCATCAGCACAGGAGGCTCCGAAGCCGCCATGACGGTCATAACCTGGGTCATCATTTTACTTCCTCTGCTGTCTGTGTGGCCTTGGGAAAGTCCCTTGACTTTAGTTTTGACATCTAATCTCTTCCTCTACTGACCTGAATGTTAGCTTTATATAGATGAGCTTTTGAGAGAGAAGTGTGAGAGTTTGCCAGGAGGTAATCACTTCTTTGGTGTGTGTTGTTTCATAGATCGCTTGACAATATCTTATTGTCGGAGCAGCGGGCCTGGAGGCCAGAACGTTAACAAAGGTACCGGGAGCCTTGTCGTGTTCTTTCACTTTAAAACTTAGTTAGAAGACGGACTTGAGGATTCTGTGTTTACATTCATGGGGAATAAAGGGCATTTTTTTTAGCAGAAGCTTAAATACTGCCAGTTTAGAATAATCCTCTTTATTCTTTTGAATGCGGTCCGATTCTCAGCCTCTCGGCTGTGGGTTGTAGGACTAGGATTGGCTTGTGAGTTAAACAAAGGAAAGCAGTGTGAGTTGGCAGCCAGCTCCCAGCACAGGTTCCCTTCATTCTTGTGGAGCCCATCCCCCCACTCACAGAGCCCGAGAAACTGTAAGAGAAGCAGTGGGCGTTTCGTGCCTGGAAGTTACTTTTGTCCCAAAGTGCCTCGCTGTCTTTGCAGGCTCACTCCATGGCAGCTTGGGATCCCCAAGTTGGCGCAGGATGGGACGTCCCTGGTTGGGTTTCTCGCCTCCCTTTGTTTCAGGATGGTCACCAGGCATCACCCAGGTGCCGAGCCGACCTGGAGCCTCGGTGACCTGTGCTCCCTGTCCCTTTCTTCCCAGTGAATTCCAAGGCTGAAGTCAGGTTCCATTTGGCTACCGCCGACTGAAGCAGTGTGAGTTGGCAGCCAGCTCCCAGCACAGGTTCCCTTCATTCTTGTGGAGCCCATCCCCCCACTCACAGAGCCCGAGAAACTGTAAGGGAAGCAGTGGGCGTTTCGTGCCTGGAAGTTACTTTTGTCCCAAAGTGCCTCGCTGTCTTTGCAGGCTCACTCCATGGCAGCTTGGGATCCCCAAGTTGGCGCAGGATGGGACGTCCCTGGTTGGGTTTCTCGCCTCCCTTTGTTTCAGGATGGTCACCAGGCATCACCCAGGTGCCGAGCCGACCTGGAGCCTCGGTGACCTGTGCTCCCTGTCCCTTTCTTCCCAGTGAATTCCAAGGCTGAAGTCAGGTTCCATTTGGCTACCGCCGACTGGATCGCAGAGCCGGTGCGCCAGAAGATGGCCATCATGGTAACACCGGCCCCTTCCTTTTTCTTCATGCCTCAGCCGCTTCTAAACCTTCACTCGGTAGAACTCGGGTTTTGCCTTTGCTTCTTGCAGTATAAAAACAAGATCAACAAGCTGGGAGAGCTGATACTCACCTCTGAATGCAGCCGCTACCAGCTCCGAAATCTGGCAGATTGCCTGCAGAAAATTCGAGACATGATCGCCGAAGCCAGCCAGACGCCCAAGGAGCCATCCAAAGAAGATGCTGTACTCCAGAGAATCAGGTACCAGGAAACGCCCCAAACTTCTTCCCACGGAGTCCTGAGGGGCGGCACCGGGAAAGAAGGGGGCAGGGCCAAGCCCCGGACCTCCCAGCAAATATGTGGACAAGTGGGGGATGGGAGCGTTCCTGACCCCGGGTGGGGGCTTGGAGCTGGTGCCTGCTGCTTTAGCTGCTCTGCTCCCCCCTGAGCTGCCAGCTCCTCTCACCGCTGTGAGAGGCACTGATTGGGCATCTGGGCCTAATTGGGGTCTTTTTGTTCGTTTTGTTTACAGGATAGAAAACATGAATCGGGAAAGGCTGAGAAAGAAGAGAATAAATTCTGCCATAAAGGCAAGCAGGAGGGTAGATATGGACTGAAATCACCCTCCAGAGCGGCAGAAACCCTCCGCAGGACGCCAGGCAGCCGGCGGGAGCTCGAGTGCTACCAGGAGACGGCCTTGCTGTTTGCGGCTTTAATGCCTGTCTCTAACATTGGAGCCATCGGATTGTTCGTTCAGAATGAGGGTGGCAGGCGCTGGTGTCAAAGGTCTTTACACCATGTTGTCACACCTCACTTATCCACTTCCTGTATCAGCTGCAATAAAATTCTAAATGCAGGGGCTTCCCTTCCACGGTGCCTCAGGACAGAGTCCCTACCCTTCCTGGGTCGAAATCTGCCTACGGGTTCCTGATGCGCTGACTGCAGTCACAGCCCAGGGGACAGGAGTGAGCTTGGTGTCTGCCCTCCAGGAACACACGGTCAGGCAGAGGCTGCTGAGACAGGTGTGGCCCTCTGAACTGGGCCGTGGAAAGGGGGCAAATTTAATCAGTAGAAAGGCGCGCAGCACATGCCCGTTGAAGGGAACAGGATGGATAAAACCACAGAAAAGGCTGGGGTGGAGGAGACGGGGCGGGAGCCATGTGAGTGGCGCATCTGTGCAGGGGATCAGGGAGGTAAGTCTGGAGAGGGAGACAAGCTCACTGTGGAGATTCTCAAATCAGGTTAAGCGGTTTAGAGTTTAAGAAACGTGTGTAAGGGAACCACTTGAGTGGGAAGGAAGGTCATGTGTCAGGTGCTGTCACAGGCTGCCAGGTTGTGGGCAGGAAAAGTGACCTGGAACTAGACAGGGTTTTGCAGTCCTATGGGTGTGGGAGCACCAAGGCCAGCATGACAGCAGATCACTGTGGCATGGATGAGTTCCATAGAATGTTCTGTTATTTTGATCTAATTCCCTCATTGGACAAATACTGCATTGCATTTTGCAGTCCTATGGGTGTGGGAGCACCAAGGCCAGCCTGACAGTAGCAGATCACTGTGGCATGGGTGAGTTCCATAGACTGTTCTCTGTTATTTTGATCTAATTCACTCATTGGACAAATACAGCATTGCGATGCCCTCAATGCAAGATGATGAACAGAGCACTGTGTACACTTTATGTGAGCAGGGACCCCATTCATGTGAGTGTAAACAAAGCGGGGGAAATCTTCAATACGTGACTTAGAAAA